TTCCTGGCTTTTAGCACACCACTACAGCCTGAGTTATTTTTTTCTATGACATATGGTCCTTCAAATCGTGGAAAAAATTTGGCAGTTTTATCTTCTGGTGCTGAAGAAAGTGAATGCTTAATTTTTAACACTTCATCTCCTACTTTATAAGTTACTCCCCGTCGTTTCATATCGTAATAAAGTTTTTGTTTTCTCTGTGCTACTTCAGTGTCCTTTTTTGCTTCTTTAATTAATTTTTCTATATCACCCATTTTAAATTCTGGGGCTCTTTGTTGAACATAAAATAATTTATCTAACGGCGTTATAATCTTTCTGCCTAAAAATAAATCAGCAGGAGTTTTGCCCGTTGTATCATGTTTTGCGGTCCTAAGGGCGAAAGCAAATTCATTGACATAGTTATCCCAGCTTTTATGAAAATTTTTAACATAACTACGGATAATTTTCACTATATTTCTATTGACCCGTTCCGCTATATTTGATTGCGGCCGATACGGGACCATTTTTAAATGACGTATGCCCAGTTTTTGGCACATGTCTTCAAATATATTACTTACAAATTGAGGACCATTATCCGATATAACTTTTAGGGGCGCCCCGTATTTTAAAATATATTTATTTAAAATAGAATCAGTAACTAATTTCGCGGAGGCTCGTTTTAAGGGAACAATTTCGGTCCACTTACTAAAATGATCAACCATAACAAGGAGATACCGACTTTTATTTAACTGACTTTTTGGGAAAAGGGCCCAATAAATCGATGCCAATTATTTCATTTGGAAATTCGGATTTAATACTATTTAGAAACCCGGCCGGGCGGAAATTAATATAATTAACCTGCTTGACATGTTTAACATACTACTTGGCAGGACTGGACATACGCCCTTGTTAACTTTTGCAGTTCAGGAAAATAGACTGCCTCGCGTACGCGTACGCGTTGGATAGTTTTTCGAATACCAGCATGAGAAGCTAAAGGGCAGTCGTGTAACTCCTGCAGGATATTTAATCTAAGACTAGCTGGGATAACAGGTCGAAATTCGTTGTTGGAATTCGTAGTTTTTGTATAAAATAATAGACCATCTATTAGTTCGTAATGGGCCGCCCTATTTCTTATCGCCACAATATCTTGGTGGCTAAAATTTTCAGGATCCTTTAAATACTCATAAATGTTTCTTAAATTCAGGATCCTTACCCAGTTCGGTTATTACAGTTTCTCGGGAATTTATTGTACACATGCTGTGAGCATTGCCACCTTTACAGTATTACCTTCTTCATCTATTTTTATTCTGGATAGGGCATCTGCTACGATATTTTCCTTTCCGGGGGTGTGCTTGATTACCAGATTATACTCTTGTAACTTGAGTGCCCATCTTATTAACCTTGGGGATAAGTTTTTCCCTGAGTACAATCTAGTTACCGCCGCATGATCAGAATACACTGTTATTGGCGCCCTTTCCAAAATAGACTCGGAACTTTTGCACTGCTAACAGAACTGCAAGTGCCTCTCTCTCGGTCGCGGAATAATTCTTTGTGTTTGATGTTTGATTTAAAGTTCGACTAAAAAATGCCACGGGCTGCTGATTTTGCGAAAGTACCGTACCGCTCCTACCGCATAATCCGAAGCATCCGCTGAAATTTCTAAATTCTCATCCTTTTCAGGAAATTTCAAAACAGGGGCTTGCGTTAATGCTTGCTTTAATTTTTCGAAAGCACTATTGGCTTCGGCCGTCCACGAGAATCTTGCCTTTTTCCTTTTTATTTTAACAATGGTTCAGCAATAGCTGCAAAATCTTTTATAAAGGACCTATAATATGAACAAAGTCCTAGAAAAGAAGAGAGCTTCTTCGCCGTATTTGGCGGCGGATACTTTTGCACAGCGATTATTTTTGATTCGTCTGTCTCGATTCCTTTCTGAGATATTTTGTAACCTAAGTATTTTAATTCAGGGGCTGCAAATTTGCACTTTTCGACATTAACTTTTAGACCGGCCTCATTTAATAATGAAAACACCTGTCTTAAATCCTGTACATGTTGGTCCAGATTATCACTAGTAATAATGATATCGTCTAAATAGATAAATGTGGACTTTCCAAGAACAGGCCTTAGCACAATGTCCATACATCGCTGAAATGTTGCCGGTGCCCCTGAAAGGCCAAACGGCATACGCAGGAATGCATAAGTGCCAGACTTGGTTATAAAAGCAGTCTTAGGCACATCTTCCGGTCCTAACCCCTATTTGAAAATAACCAGTCGTTAAGTCTAACGTAGTCATGTATTTGGTAGAAGTTATGTTCCTTAGAATTTTCTTCAATAATAGGTAACGGATTATACCGGATATTTAGTCATGGAGTTTAATTTACGATAGTCAATTGCAAAACGCCACCTTTTCGGATGTGTTTCTGGATAGTCATTATTTTTCTTACATAACACAACCGGGCTAGCATAACTACTTGAGATGGGCGTTATGATCTTTTTACGTAACATATCTCGAATGTGCCACTCTATAATTTTTTCTTTATTCTTATCATCGTATCCGGTATGGTTTGTGGCGAACTGGCAGTGAATCTCCGGTGTCGATACTATGGTTAGTAACTTGAGTAAATCCTGGAATATCACTAAATAACGAAGCAAATTCACTTACCACTTGTCGAATTTTTTTTGTTGCTCTTCCTTAGGCAGGTGGTCAAGGTTTAACATTGGTGGTTCTGTTTTTTCTTCTCGAACTGGTTTCATCGTCAGCTTAAGGGACGCTTCGTTAAAATCCAGCGTTGCTTCTGCCTCTGAAAGAAAATCTATCCCTAAGATGATATGTGCTTGCAAATTCTTTACTATAAAAAACATAATCTTTACTTGTTCGTCCTTGATACGAACGTATAGCGGTAATTTACCTATGCACTTGCATCTTTCTCCCTGCGCAGCTAACACTGTCGTATTATCCGAATTATATATGCGGTATTTACGAAAAATACTTCCTAAAAAAATCTTCTGCCACACAGGAACACTGCGCGCCTGTATCCAGGAGTGCGGTGGCTGGGATGTTATTCACCAACACTTCAATCTTTGGAAGAGTCAAATTTTTCACCATCACTGTATTTAACTTGAAGGGAAGAGGGGTTTTCTTGGCCTTCGGATTTCCGCACCCTCCCGTCAGCAGAAATCCGTTTTAGTTTAAATCTTGTTTTTTCCTTTCCGGCTTTCCTTTTTTCTTTTTCCACTGGCCTTCAGACTTTTTTCCTGGATTACTATTGAACTGTCGACGTTCGCCGGTTGTTTTTGGATACTCGGGTTTCCTTGCCCACTGATTCGCTTTTCTTCCGTAGCCGTGTTCTTGACTTTGCTGTGGTCTTGCCGCACCAAATTGGTTTCGTTGCTCATACTGGCGTCTTCTTTCAATGTCCGCCGTTCTACTTTCAAACTGGATTGCTAGCTCAAATAACTTTTCCAGTTAGTCGGATTCCTTAATTCAATAAAGTCTTGTACTTGGGGAAGTAACCTCTGCAAAATCACTTGAATTATCTCAGGATCCGGACGGTTTCCATACAAGAGTTTGAAGACGTGAATTTTTCTTAAAATAAAGGCGGAAAGATTTTCGATTCGTTGCTGATATATGCTGAAAAGTCCCGTTTCTAATTTTGCACGATCTCTTACGACAGGGAAGGCTTTTACTAAGGCCGTCTTGAAATTTTCATAAGTATAGGTGGGACTTCCCGCTTGACCCAAGAGGCTTCTGCCTATACATTTGAACGAATTAAGCGCTTCGCTCCTCAAAGTGCTGGTAGCTAAGGTGACTTTCTGGAACTCATGCACGGGATACAGCATGAAGTGGTCATCCAATTTTTCCAAAAAACTGGTTACCGGTGAGTTTCCATTAAATGTTGCTTCTGGTTTCATCGATGCGCGCATGGTCTGGACGATGTAACCAAATCCTTCCAGGGCGGCAGCTGGCATTTCTGGATTCTGAGCCGCTTCTGCAGGCAGCACAGGTTCTTCTTGAAACTCGGCCATGGTTATTCTTCTTCGTTGGGCGCCACTATCAGGTTCAATGTTCCGTCTAACCTTCTTCGGGAACATGCAAGGACCTGACTCGGAACAGAGAGCTTACTAAAGCTATGTTCAAAACTGTGGGAAGTAGACAGGATACGCAAGAAAGGTATACAAAACCCTTTATTTTTCTCTATTTACAATAATTTCCGTACTTCGGAATACAATGACACACCACTTGTGGTCTAAACGTAAGAATATAAAAATAAAACTAAACTCTAATTTAACTTTAAAATAATAAACGTGGAAGATTGGCCTTATATTAACAGGAAGCCGTATGTAGTACAGAGAACTGTGAACACTACAATACGTTTAAAAATTATCAAGAGGATTAAAACCTCTGGCCTGGAAGGCAACCAGCAACTGAGTAAACTTCTAAGGTAAGCGGCCTGCTTCGACTAACTGCTTCCTCTCCTTCGCTTGGCAAAAAGCCACAACTTAAATACTTGGCGTTCGCCAGACAAACTTTGCATAAATACTTTAACGCTTATAATTCTGGCCGGAAGTAGAAAATAAGAAGTGATAGTAAAGATTTAAAATAAAATAAACGTTAGTAAAACTTAAGATCCTTACAATTTGTTAATTCTTTCTTAGCACTAACTGTTTAGCATGTGATACCAAAATTATTGATGCAAAATATATTGAAATTGTTTATCTTTAGCATGGAACGGACATTGTAGTGCTTGGGAGACAATTAAGTCTTACGGACTGGTGAACCATTTGAACTGCTTTTGATTTTAATTGAAATTTTAATCTTGCTTTAATGCCTTTTGTTCCTTTTAGGGTATTTTAAATTTTGGGTGCTTTAAAATTTTATTTGTATGTTTTGAGTTCCTGCTGTGTTTGTGCTGTACAATTTTACACATTACAAATAATCTTTTATTAACAACTACTCAAAATAATACAATAACTAACTCAAAATTAAAGAAATATTGTTTAATCCGATACCTTTATTTGGATAGAGCTCTCTCAAAGTGGAAGCAAGGTTGGAACAAGTCATCGCAGTGTCTTTTAGCCAAGAAGCATCTGTTGCTGAGAGGAAGGCAAGTGTCTCTGTGTCAGAAGCACATGGAAGTCATGCCACATTTAGTAACTGCAGCTAGAGATGCAACTAGCGTTTGTTTAGCCGCTTTCATTGACAGGAGATGGAACTGCTCCAGCATAAACTCAGCTCCACATCTTACGCCAGATCTCGTAAAAGGTGAGATAATTATAGAATACGAATTTGAGGAATTTGGGGGATAATGTATAACTTATTTTAAATATATTTTGAATCAAAGATAATTTATACTTACGTACTACCCGTCTCTTATGCGAGATGCGGAATTTAAATGCAGTAATTAAGTGATCAACAACGTAAAAAAAGGTAAGTTGCATATTTCCAAACAATAGAAAGTTAATTCCAAATAAACAATAGAAAGTTTATTTGGAATTATCGCCTTTCCCGTACATGTTCTCGTGACCTAAGTAGTCAGTTATCCAGTTGGTAACGGAAAGATCTGCACAACTAATACTGGCGAAAGCACAGTTGATTTTTCATATCTCCTACTCCGAGACACTTGAAGATTCTATAAGTTTATCAAGTTTCTCTCACACTTTTGTATGTGTTGATGGTTGATCCATCTATAATGAGATAAAAATTTATTTTCTATGGATTGAAAGAATATTAATTACGGGAAATAAGAAACATAAATTTCTGATCCCTCCAGTATTATGGCCTTGTATAGATTAATGGACTTTGTTACATTTGTAATTGTTCACAATCTGCCATTGGAAAAAAAAAAGCAAAAATTCTTGCTCTTGTCTTTATCAGATTTGCATACTTCATATATGATAACAACACCAAAAGAAGTTGAGTTTTACAGAAAGCTTTGTGCGGGTATATGATATAAAAATGAACGGTAACTTGTTACTCCATGCGACGGTGTTAGCAGAATGCTAACTCATTCTTCTACAACTGCAGTTACAAAAAAAACTTTTAAACAGCCGGTGATTCAAATTCAGTCATGCAACAATGTTGCAGTTCTTCAAGCATGCTACAAATGTTAATCTCTTACTATATTTCATATCCTTCAACTACTATTTCCTTAAAGCAATATTAGTATCCTTAAGGTTGTGAAGATTTATAGATTTATTTATTTTGCCTAACATTTAATTTTTAGTTAAAGCAACTTTCCTTTCAGTTTCGTTTTCACCCACGCTTTTCTGCCAGAATGCTAATCAGATAGCTCGCGTGTATTCAGATTAAAGTAGAAAAAGTGTTATTTAATCAAAGCTTTTGGAAGGGGATTTTAGAGCGTGTTATGCCTGCTTGTAGGCCACTTTGTTACACTGAAGGCGATTGAGCCGTTTGGCTAGTTTAATTACATTTTATTTTAAGTTCGTTACCTGTTTGAGTTAAGCCAGAAGTGTTGGTTTTATGTAAGCCCAAGTTGGGCCGTCTGTGCGATTATATATGGTTGAATAACATGTCCTTTAAACCCTTCTTCTGACTTTGCTCTGTTAAGACCTGAGGATCATTCCTCATACAGTTTCATATTTGTAGAGCTCGTTAGTTTATGTTACCTAAAAATAAAGGCCTGACTCTGTAATGTTTCTTCTGTGTGACTCTGTAAGATGAGACTCTGTAAAGATAAAGATATTTTATCAAGCTATGACGTGTTTAATATTGCAGTAGCTTTTGTGTCTAAAGCTCGCAGTACAGCTGACATCTTTCTCAATACAACCTCATCCACTGAACATGCAATTGTGACTAAGATATTTACACAATGAAACTCTTTGGGGAGGAGTACTAAAAATGTATTCATGTATTTCTATGCTACTTGCTGTACTACACGTTTCAGGTTCACAGAAACAGGGATTTTTTTTAATGTCGCTGGCTTTTGTATGCTATTATATATTAGTAAATTAAATTCATGTACACTTTTCATTCTTAAACCCTTTTCTTTGAACCGATGGGCATTTTGTATTGCCTACTTAATATAAAACGTTTTGCTCTTGATTATTAAATCACTGGCTTTGCTTTCTACATGATGTCAAATGTCAGGATTAAAATCTCCATATGCAGTTAGGACCACGGTAATATACAAATATGATATGCCGCTGAATGTATATATTTCTGAAGAAATACTTAATTTCCTTAGAAATTTGCATAATGAATTCTAAAAGTTAAAATGCTGTGTTTTCTGCTAACTAAACTAAATATCCTCATTTAATTAAAAAAGCATTTTCTGCCTACATGCGTTTAAATAAAAGATATATAAAAATTAGGCGTTATTATGTTTATTTATTTTCCCTACATTCATTTCAATATGCGATCGTATGAATTTTTTTATAACTGGTTCAGCAGCTTGTAGAGACATTAGGCTATTTTGCAAGCAGGAGAAGTGAAAAATGAGCGATGCCCTCGCCGGGACTCGAGCGACGGACCTCTCGAATACGCGCCGAGTGTGCTGACCACTACACCACCAAGGCATTCTAAGAAGGCGGGAGAAATACGTTACATATACCCCCTTTTAAAGGGCGACTGGGGATTAAGGGACCCAATCGCCAAATCCTGGTGGTGGAGAATCATCATCCACCAGCTTTTAGTTCGGGTGCCACTGTAGAGACATTAGGCTATTTTGCAAGTAGGAGAAGTGAAAAATGAGCAGTGACCTCACCGGGACTCGAACCACGGACCTCTCGAAAGCGCGCTGAGTGCGCTGACCACTACACCACGAAGGCATTCTAAGAAGGCGGGAGAAATACCTTATAAACTTCTATCATGTTTCTATCTATAAACGTTTGCTTCATATGAGCAAAACTTTTTATAGATATGTAAAAACATTTTAATATGTCAAAGAAATATTGCAGTTATTCAATCTGGCATCGAAAGGGTAAATCAAAGTCGAAATAACTGTTAGTTAATAAGTTATTTTTTTCCCCTGGAATAAAAATATTTGGTTTTAAAAAATGAATGATTGATCTAAATCAAAATTATGATATTTATTTAGAGAAGAGGAATGCTAGATCTAAATGTAAAAACAGAACTCTCTCCCTGAAAGAGTTTTCAAAATTATTCTGCATTTCTGCATTCTGCATTCTGCATAAACCACTTTATCTTTAATTGCATTGCTGTTGTCCATTTGGCACGTTTCCCAATTGTAAGAAAATGCATTATTATTGAACTTTTAGCGTCTAGGTAAATTGTTGATATGAAACAATTAACATGACAATGACACAAAAAATTCAGAGTTTTTCATTGCTTATTCTATGTCATTATAATAGTTTAAAACGTTTTTCAAATTCATTGCATACAATTTAACTTATATTATATCATAAGCATATGTATTCCAGCAACAGTGGCACGAATAAATCGGATTCTCTAAAACTTAAAAAGTTTATTTCCTGTATGAATAAAAAGCGATTCAAAAAATTGTGAAAATGTTACTTCTTAATAACACACTATAAGATTCTTTAAATGAATATAAATTAAGACATGGAAATATACAGATAAAGTTTTTTAAAAACTATCAGTCAATTATTTGAGCATCATAGAAACTATAATTTTATTTTCTAATATTTTACGTTCTTATCTTTTCAGGTACCCGAGAGCAGGCTTTCATGTACGCTCTAGCTTCTGCAGCAGTAGCACATAATATCGCCAGGGCCTGCAGTGATGGTTCCCTGGCTTCCTGTGGATGTGGTGAAATACCTCATGAGCCACCGCATGGCGATTTTAAATGGGGTGGATGCGGTCACAATGTCAGGCATGGTCTCAAGTTTGCCAGGAATTTCGCAGACGCTCCTTGGCGACAGAAATCTGTGCGAAAGAAAGTTGAAGCGTCCGTAAACAGACACAACAATCAAGCTGGAAGAAGAGTAAGTGATTTAAAAAAGTCGTCAATATTATTTAAGTGTATTAACAAAAAACCTTAAATTAAATTGGGTTATTTTGCAAAGTTGCTAATAAACTTCTGGTCCTTTAGAAGCTTGGGAAAAACATTTTTCAGCTGAATATTATCAAAATTTCAGCTGTACAGTGTAAAAAAAGGGCATTCATGTTAAAGGCATCTTTTAAGTACATGAATTCTGATATAGCAGAGAATAAGGCCTAATTTCATGGTGATTTGAATTAGTTTCATACCGGGATCGAAAATGAAGTGTTAAAAAGAAGACAGTATAGTACTTCACACAGGTCTTAGGAACACAAAAAGTAATTTGATCAACTGCATGCATGTATTTGTCTTTAGCAATAGAACGACAATCAGGAGCAGACAGTTCGCGTGAGGAAGCTTTTCGTTCTCGAATGTCCGCACCGATGGCTGGCTCAATTCCATCCTCGCAGGAAATGAAGAATGGTATTCGGGGCTGATCCTAGAGCATGCGTAATACGTGCAGCCTCACCGGGCTGCAGAATTTAGAAGCGGCAAAATTTGTAAATTTAAGAAGTCACTAGCGGCAGAATCTAGGAATCGCGGTGATTGCACCGGACAGCGAAAACCTTAGCTTCGGCACTGATGGTATATCTGCGTCATGTTGTATCTGTGGAAGATTCAAGTGGCTTAATGTCTTAAGTTTCGTTCAGACACTGATTTTAATGTCATACGCGGTTTAAACCAAGCTTCGTGGCTATGCATCCAGACCTTGATCCGCCAGAAGTTGCTAGAATGGGGTTATGAATCTTTGTTTTATAAGGCTTCATACCCAAGACCTTATAATACTAGATTATCATATCTTTTGATATCTGAGTGAGCTGCGTCCTTGGAGGGCAAGAAAGTCGTACGAATGAATGGCTTCCTTTCTAAACCATCTCAGTTCTATAGAGATGGGAGCCGAAATCTGACTGGATGTTAACTGAGGGTTATCAGTGCTAATGGCATTTACTTTTCGTGATGATTAACTTTGGGCTTTATATAAAACAAACGTTCATGGTATACTGTAAAATGTATATAACTTTCCAAATAACCTAACAATTAAGGTAAAGCAAACGTAGACAGATGACAAAGGAAAAAATATGAAAAAATGCAGCGGGAAAAGAGCAGTGACATCAAGGGATCATAATCGATCTATCCGTATTCCCACTTGATTGCCCTCTTTTATAAAGACATCTAATTTTTTTTAAATCTTCATGGATACGCTATTTCAATTTTGAAAGTTATAATGGCATATAAAATTTTTAATGAGGCAGGTAATCGGAATTATTCAATGTCCTCGCCGGGACTCGAACCTGGACCTCTCGAATACGCGCCGACTGCGCTAATCGTTGCATCATGAATACATGCAGAAAGGGGGGAGAAAATACCTTATAACGTAATAATTTAATTATTTTGAAGTCAAACACCAACTGAAATGTGTTCATTAAATGTAAAACGAATTCAAAGATAAATACATCATGCTTAATGTTAAATGTTTATTGTAGTTCAAGCATATGAAAACAGGTGCGTGTGTGTCATAAAAGATGTATAGATACGTTACGTGATCTAAGATTTTACATCAGTGCTTAGTTTAGATGTAATACGCAGTAAAATCCAAAAACAGAAGTAAATGAAGCAAACAGAATCAATTTAGCTTTGCATTGTTATTTATAAGCTTAACTATAACTGAGTGCAACATATTTGAAAAAAAAATTATATTTACAAGTAAGACAATCATAACAGTATAGCTATTTTAATCCAAATATATTTCTCAGAATTAAAACCAAATGATCCAGCTTGGCCTCTTATGTGCAAAGGAAAAAAAACCTCTTATGTACAAATTTAAATAGACTAATATGTGAAATCTTTATTTTTTTCGGCCTGGTGCTCTTCAGAAAAGAATTAATATTTAAATTCAATTATATAAGTTTAATAAAGAACATAAAATTGCCTATGCAATGGCAGAAACTACTATCAGTCAATTTTTAAATCCTTGATTGAATAAATGTCGTGCATCTTAGTTCGTATTTTGTTCAATTTTTCTTGGCTGGTCTTGTCTTATTGCTGCACTTGAAACGAACGGCTTTGCGGGAAAAGGACTAGTAAGCATAAAAAAGTATGTCAAGTTCCTGATTAACAGCCGTCATTGGTATCAACGCATTTTTCGCAATATTGCATATTTCTTTTGTTTCCAGCTTTGAAAAAGACTGCTTTTGAAATAATTCAATTTTTACTATTTGAAAAACGCTACTTTTCAAATATTAAAAATCGGTAGGTAAACGGTAAACGGTAGAACATATTTTCGAAGGTCCGTGTTCCGAAAGAAGTTATACTATCTCGAAGAAGATCTGTGTTTCGGAAGAAGTTGTCTCGATGAAGGTCCGGGAACTGATCAAAGTGTATTAAATTTTAACTGTCTGAAATTTTGTTCGCGATGTGTCGTGACATATGTGGCAGAACTTTAGCTATAATAAGCAAGATATTATATCTATTGACAAAAGCTAAGTGTTTTATGCATAATTTGTATGATTTTGCTACATATTTTGAAAGTAACATTTCGCTGTATGTTATAATCATGTTTGAGGTAAAGATGCCATACCGTACCGTCAAATGTTTATCATACAGAAATTATTTTTTGCTTTGCGTATAGAATCGATTTTGCTTTGTTTTTTCATTTGCTTAATAATAATGCAATAGAAATTTTACCACTACAGCATCATCAGACTATTATAACATCATTTTACATAAGAAGACACAGTGCATTGAATATTTTCCTTCTGTTTATTCCTGTACAAAAGAAAATTCCTGTGCATAGAGATCACTTTATTAAACCTTTCGAGATAGCTGTTGGGTTTGAGCTGTTTTGAGATAGCTCTTAGATCACGTAACACCTAGTCGTCAAACTTCCTTACATTATAATAGCTACTAAATGTTGCGATGTACCTAAACAATGGTTTTAAACTTGAACTTTCCATATCGTTTCGATTGTATGCGATTCAAAATATCTCTGCATTCATAGGAATTAGCAGCAGCAGAGTAATGGTTGCAAAGTTTATTTTCTTGTACCCATGTCGTCGAATGAAAATTTTATAGTTTGCTTTAAAAAATACTGTATTTATATACGTATCTTAGATGTTACCTCGATTTAAATCAAAATTACGGCCTCTAATTTAATTTCTATGACTCATTTGAGCATTCCGGCGCAACTAACTACTCGTTTATTTGCAAACCTATGATTTAAATATTTTGTGATAAGCAAACTTTCGTGTCTTGTATGCTTCAGTTCCAGGGCAAATCCAGAGTAGCAACATCAATGAATTAGCCATTTCATATGCAATGAATCAATGCTATTTTTTAATGAAAAATTAAATTTTGCACTCTTGATCAAGAATTTTGTGATGATTTCTTGTCTAAAATGCTCTAGGTTAAATTCTAATTGAATTAAGTGTTATTAATGATGTCACTATCAGTTACGAACTATTATTGTATTTACCTTTAATCCATTTAATATGTTCAGAAGAATCTTTAAATTTGTTTACTGTACTTAGTACAAAAGGTCTTCGGGATAAGATACAAGTTAAGGAAACTAGAAAAATGTTCATACGCATAAGGACTCTTTTATAAATCAATTTCCTTGTTTCTCTTTTTACTGTCCAAGTAATAGTAGTGAGAGATGAGTTACCACTGAATGCGTGTTGTTACAAGTGAAAATAACTTACTAAACACAGCAAAACAAGAAATTCATTTCTTACTAATTTTCCTTATCTCTGTATACTTTTTTTAATAACATTATTTTTTTAATTCAAAATAAAAATTCATGCAGTGTAAAGTTAATAATAATAGAAATGTTTAAGCGAAATGGTAGCAAAATGATTTCTATTTTAACGAAAGGCAGAAATGACGTATCTTCGGGTTATAAAGAAAATAATTTGTGTCATTTATTATTGACGATATTCCAAAATTAGAAATAGATTATTCATTGCATGTCCCCTCACATAATTATTTTTACTTTAGCATTTTATGTCAGTAGTATAATTTTACGGGTTCTGGAACAGTTGAGTTGTTTTGCTCCTGCTGCATGGGAGTTCTGGAACAGTTGAGTTGTTTGTTCCTGCTTCTTGACGCGAGTGACGTCAGAGACCACGCCCTTTTTAGAGGTTGAGCTTGTTTTCTGCTGGTTGTTTTAGCGGAAATGACGTCATAAACCATACTCATTTCCGAGTTTAGTTGTTTTACGATAGCTTCTATACCGGAAATGACATCATATCGGTATCGGTATGTTTTTCGTTAATTATAATTCTGGTGTATGGAAACAATAGGACTTAATGAAATTTTACTTTGGAACAATACTGCTTGCGCTATAATTATAACATTTCAATAAATAAAATGTGTCATTATAGCTATTGAAAGGTCATTGAAGCAAATACATTTTAATTATTATTAATATTAAATTTATATTTAAATTATATGAATATGAATTATAATTTGAATTGTATTCGAACATAAAAGAATTCAGGGTCGTCATTATTCTAGCGGTGGAGCATGACGTCATTGCTTTTGCGGTGGAGCATGCGGCGGAAACGACGTTATTACTTTAGCGGTGGAGAATGACGTCATTGTTTTGCGGTGGAGCATAACGCCATTATTTTGGGCGGAGAACGACGGCATTCATTTCTTTAGCGGCGGAGCATGACGCCATTACTTTTGCGGTGGAGCATGACGTAACTGTTTTGCGGTGGAGCAAACGATGGAGAATGACGTCATTGTTTTGCGGTGGAGCAAGCGATGGAGAACGGCGGCATTCATTGTTTTAGCGGTGGAGCACAAGGTTATTACTTTAGCGGTGGAGTATGACGTCATTGTTTTGCGGTGGAGCAAGCGATGGAGAACGGCGGCATTCATTGTTTTAGCGGTGGAGTACAAGGTTATAACTTTAGCGGTGGAGCATGACGTCATTGTTTTGCGGTGGAGCAAGAGGTTATTGTTTTAGCGGCGGAGATTGATGCTATTATTTTTGCGGTG